TCTAGAGGCTTCATGCATCCCAGTGAAAGTGGGCAGTTTGGACGACAGATCCCCACATCCCCCAAACCTCCCTGCAGCATGGAAGCCATCTGCTGCAGGTAGGGGGAGGAGAGGGAGTGTCAGAGATCAGAAGCCTTTGGCTCTAACCCTGCTCAGCTGAGATCAGCACTCTTTACCACAGAGCCTTCTTTCAAGTTTGAGTGCGGGGCTTGCCACCTGCCGACTGGGAGGCCTCCCTCCCCTGCAGCTCCTCCAGACTCTATAACCTTGCATCAGGGCCTTTGACTTATTGCTGGGAGAAAGGGCAGAGAAGGTAAACTTAGGGAGCAGAAGCCCAGGCCTGGGGGCAAACCTCACCCTGAGCCCAGCTCAGCCTGTAGGACCTCAGGCACTGCACCGCCCCCTTGTGGTGGGTTGTGATGCCAGACTTAGTTTCTCTCCATGTAGAAAGAGTGCAGCCCAGCCCAGGAGGAACTCTTGAGTTCATGTCCATGGGCCTGGCTTGCTGTGGGGCACACAGGATGGGCACTGGCAACTGTCAAGTAAGCTGCGTAAGAAAGCCGACACTGGTGGCATATTTGAAGGGCTTTTTAATGCCAAGAGATTTGGCCATTCTTTCCTTCCCTCTAGAAGAAACAGAGGAAGCCTGCGCCTTATTCTTACCATAAAACCACCTTTCATCTTGTTCAGATCACAGCCTTCTTCTGAGTCTGGGTCCCTTGGGTGGTGCTGACTCTCAGCAATGCCTTAGGCGCAGATGGGGAGAAGCCGTGCCAGCCAACTTCACCACGTGACTCCACACGTGGGCTGCGATGCTGGTTCTTCCAACAGATCCAAATTAAGAATGGGCAGACTGTCCTGGGAGCAGAGGGGCCTTGGCTCCTCGGGATGTGCCTGTCCCCCCTGCTCCGCCCAGAGCAGCTGTGGCATCACCAAGCTCAGCCTCTCCAAGGGCTCTCCCCACCTTCCCTCTCGCTTCCTTCCCGCAGGCCCATCTGCACTCGGGGAGGGAGAGGGGAGGGAGAGACGTGACTCATCCCTGGGCAGGAGCAGCCTGGGCCAGGGCTGTGCAGGGCTGGGCAGGGGCACAGCTTGCACAGAGGGAGGAGACCCCACCCTCCAGCAGGCACGGTTCGTGCGCCTGTGTCACCTGGGGCCTGTGTGATGCTTTTGCATACCCCTGCTTGTTCACCCCGACCAGGCGTAATTGGCTCGCCTCCCTCCACAACTCAGCACCCCCCTCCACCCTGCACACCTCGGAAGAAATTAGAAACGTGACAACAAACTCCAGTTGTCGAAAATCCACAGACCCACCACCAATCATGCGTCAGCGGCGTGGTGGAGGGGGTGGGGCGTGGTGCGGGGGAGTAATTGGTGAACCCAGGGTGAATGAAATAATTGGAAAAGTGAGGTGTGAGTTTGTTACGGGAGTGTGAGCATGGTGGGGGAGGGGAGGAGGGCCGTGTTTAAAAGCGGGGTCTGTCCTCTTTATTCACAGCTTCCGATACAGTAATTGCTATTTTGTGGTTTCTATTATCTACGCAGTGGGGAGTGTGTGCGGCTCCCTCTCCTTGCATGTGGCTGGGCTGAGGACGAGTCTCCAGGTACCCCTGATTTCCCTCCCTCACTGGCCCCTGGCAGCCCTGCCCAGCCTCTCCCCAACCATGGCCTTGGCTCCCAGGGGACAGGGTACCTGCAGAACTTCCCCCAAAAGCCACTGTTAAAGATGGCCCTGCGGACCTTGCGGTCAGGTCAGATAAGAACCTCCATAATGGCTGGTATTTATGCCTTGCTTATCACCAAGGAGCTAACGGTACTTCATTGATTTTTTTTTTTTCTCCCCCAACCTTTTTTTTTTTCTCTTCTCTTTAGTTCTCTTTTGATATCTCTCTGCAGTCATTGGTATTGGCCACAGTTAAACAGCACGCAGAGTCCTCCCGGGGCACTGAGGACAGGAGCTTGCCTGGGCTTGAGTCCCGGTCACTTTTCCTCTCTCTGCCCCTTGGTTTTCTCATCTGTCAGACGGAGGCTGTGAGACTACTGGCCCTAGGTTGGCACACCTGGGAAGGATGGATCTCAGAGGCCTAGCAGGTGGTGGGCACTCCATGGTAGCTGGGGTGACAGCAGCAATGACAGTGTCCTGAAGCCTCAGCTGGACATTTAGAAAGTGCCCACAGACCTCGGAAGTTCCTTCTAAGATCTAGCCCTAATCTCCTGCCTTCTCCTTAGTCCAGCTCTCTTGTCCTGTTGTTAGAAGGAAGAGACTGCTTGTCCATTTCCTGGAACCTGCTGGAGTCTGTGGGCACAGTATTTCGTTTGCCAGTCACAAATCTGTCCAGAAGCCCCAAAGCAGGGCTGTGCCCTCCCCAAGGGGCCCAGCCCTCACCCCTGTCTGACCTCTGTGGTGGACCCAGAGTGTCCCTCTGTCACAGCTCCTTCTGCCGAGCTCTCATATGGCACTTTCACAAGCCGCAGAAGCCCAACCCCACCAGCCTCCTCACTAGCTTCTTTCTGCACCCTTAATTATTTTCCTTGCCTTTCTCCGGACCACAGCTGCTTACCATGCACAGAGCTTCCCGGCTTGCAGTGTGCTGTGGAGAGAGATTAACCTCAGCACCACCCAAGCCCAGACACACACACACCACACCACCACCATCCACACACATACACACACCGTACACTCCACACACACACCACCATCCATACCCACACATACACACCGCCGCCGCCGCCACCATTCGTGCACACACACACTCCACCACCACACACACACACACCACACACACCAGGCAGGGCTACATACTCCAGACTTTTCCAGCCATGCCCCCCAGAACTGGCCCCAGGAGGAAAGAAGCCTCAGCTCCTGGAGGTGGCTGCCCCCATGCAGGGGATGAAGGGGCTTGAAACATTGTGTGGCAGAAAGGGGGCTGGTGCCTGGCTTCCCATTCAAATCCTGCTGCTTCCTATCAAAAGCCACCGCTGCCTCCTTGAGATGTAGTTTCTTCATCTGTGAAATGGGGCCAATAAGACTAACTGTGATCTTGGCCTCTTCTGTTTAATCCTCACTCTCCCCCCCACACACCCTGCACAGAGAGGTGAGATTTATCAGCACGGTGTCTGCCTTCAGGTCTGCAGCTCTGTTTGTTCATTCCAAAAATTCCTGCTGGCATCCCCAAAGAGCAGGACCCTTGCTGCAGGTGCATCACATCCGTGTGGTTTCTATTGGGCAAGGTGGGGGAAGGGCTGAGGAGAAAACAACTCACCCCACGGTGCCCTAGTCAGGGACAGTGAGTGGTTATATTGCAGGGTAGCATCTGCCCAGCCTCAAGGTTAGGAAAGGAGCCTGTGGCAGCTGCGCCCTGGAGGCCAGATGTGGCTGGAGAGCCAGGGGGACGGACCCACACCCCAGAGGTTTCCCATGGCCCCATGGATGGAGTACTAGCCTGGGCTCACACTTTGAGGGAAAGTGAAAACAATCCAACTCCATCATCCAGGCCACCCCAGACTCCATCCCTCACATCCCAGTGGCCTCCTGCAGAGCTTGGAGCCAAAGAACCATTGATCTGAACAAACCTACAAGAAAACATGTGTCTGTTCAACCCTGCCCACTGTGTCCCTGCCTGTCCTGCAGAGGCAGCAGAGGCTGTGCGTGTCATGGGCTGTGTTGGACTTCAGGTGGCAGAAGAGAACAGCGTTTGTGGGCTGGACTCCTCACTCTCCAGCCTTGCCTTCTCATCCCACCTCCCCAGCCTCTGGTCCCCAACCCGGGCCCTCCAAATCAGTCAGGAGCCTCCTCATAGCGGGAGCTGACCGGCAACAGTATGGCTCCTTCCCCTCTCCGGGAGGCTGGCCTTGTCGCCAGCGCCTGCCCAGTCGCCTACACAGAGGAGGCACTGGGAGGGGGCACGGAGCTGCCAGGAGAGCTGGAGGAGACGTGCGGGTTCATTTTGAGGATTCATAATGTCGCATTTACACACAGTCCTGCTTTTGGAAATGGGGCTGGCAGATGCTTGGTCATGCCAGCAGGGCTGCAGGTTAACGCCTTGGATTTAGCTTATATCATTTCACGAGAGCTTACGGCCTTTGCTGTGTTTTTTCCCAATCGGTCTTTGGCCTGAAGCATCCTAGACTGTCGTGTGTGTGTGTGAGTGTGTGTAGATTTTCAAATAAAATAACACCTCTCTTCAGATGCTGTGCACATTAAATATTTATTGGTAGCAATTTGTGTGTATATAGCTGATAAATGGACATCAAGAAGGGATTGGGGGTGGAGAGTGAGATGAGAAAGCCAGGGAGGTCCTAGAAAGCATGGGCCTTTTTGTCCAAGAATTTCTCAGAGATTGAGCTCAGTGGAGAGGAGAGGAGTAGCCCAGGGATGGTCGGGGGCCGTGTTTACCTGTTTGATCCCAGTCAGGAGGTCCTGGGCCATTTTCTTCACAGCTTTGCCTGCCTTTGGCTTAGCAGATATCAAAAAGAAAGCTTAGGAGAAGGGGACGTGGGGTTTACAGGAAGTAGCTGTGTGTAGTTGGAACACTCAGCTCTGTGGGCACCTCCCAGCCTAGGTCCTGGAGCTGGGAGAACGGGCCTTGTGCTCAGCATGGGGTGGCCATGTGCCTGGCTCAGGTGGAGGTAGGCTGGAAAGGTTAGGGGACCCCTGCCCAATCCCTTGTCCAGAGCCTTGGCTCTCAAATGTGAGTGGCCCTACTTCCCAGCTGGGGACTTCCCCAGACTGTCCACTTACGTACCAGGTAGGGGTCCACTGGCAAGTGTCACCCCGTCAGGAAGAGAGAACAGATGTCCTCCTGCTAATGGACAGGAACCAAAAACTTTCCGTCGAGGTCTCTAGCCTCAGTGTTCCCTCGCTGCCCTGCTTGGGTGCCAGAACATGGAGTGCTGACACTTGGGTGCGTTTGCCTGTGGTGAGAACTGGGCCTTGCCACCCCTGCCTCCTTTGCAGGGCCCGATTCTTAAACTCCTATGTCTGCCTTTGTTTCCAGCACCTTTGGGGAGCTGAAGACCGTCCGCTTGCCAAAGAAGATGACGGGGACAGGTGCACACCGAGGGTTCGGCTTTGTGGACTTCCTCACTAAGCAGGATGCCAAGGTGAGCTGTGACCCTCTCTCCTCTCCTTCCTGAGCCTCTTCGTCCAGGAGTGTCCCTTTCCTACACAGGTTTTCTTTTTCCCTGACTCTGCTATTTCATATGATACCCCAGAGGAAACACGCTGTGTTTTGTGTTTGGAGGAAGGAGCAGAGTCATCTGTGCAGGAGTTTTAGGGTCCCAGGGTCTCAGGCCTCTTCTTGTCATGGCAGCTTCTGGTCCACGTGGTCCCTGCCTGGGCGAAATGGGAAAAGCTGTGGGAATCACACAGAAAGGAGAAAAACAGTGCATGACATTCCCTCCTTGTCCTGCTTGAGGCCAGGGTCTGCTCTGTGCTGGTGACACCTGAGAGCCGCCTAAGCAGTGTTGAAGTGAGGCAGCTGCTTCGAATTCAGTTCCAGGGCAAGATGCAGGCTCACCTGGCCTGCAGCAGGGGCCCTGCTATGTCTGTGGGGACTTCAGGGTGGTCACTGTGGCCCTCCCTCCATGAGTGCCAAGCCCAGGGTGCCATTTCCCCTCGGGTGGCTCAGCTGTCCTCAAGAGCAAAACAAAGCAATGGGGGCTTCTAGAGGCTGGGGTCCCCTGTACCCTGCAGCAATCCTTCAGAAGAGCGAGGAGGTTTCTGGGAGTTTCACCTTGACGTTGCGAGGGGCCCAGGGGCAATGCAGCCTTGGCAGCCCTGGAAACACCACAGGCAGAGGGCACTGGGACCCCAGTACCTGTTCTGTGGCACGTGTGTCTGGACTTCTCCTCTCGTCGGCTGGCAGCCTTTCCTTTGCTTCCCGTCCATGACAGAAGGGACAGCATCCTGCAGTAACAGGCCAGGGAAGCAGTGACACTTAGTGATAACCTCTCAGCCTCCACTGACCCTCCCTGTCCCTCACTTTCCTCACCTGTAAAATGGGCTAACAGCAGTGCCCATGCTGCCAGGGTTGTAGTGCTGAGGGTCCTGTGAGAGGCTGCATTGGGGACGGAGTGGGAGGGGGGGCACGCTCCACCTTGAGCAGCCTCTCTCATAGAGGCCAGTGCCAGAGCTAGTCATTGGTGCACAACCTTCAGAGCCCACACTTTGAATCCCACACTGCCTGTTCCCTGCTGTGTGACCTCATGTTCCATGACTCATGTCCCATGTGCCTCGGCTCTCCCCTTGTGAGTCAGCGATAGGGTTTTCCTCCAGAGCTGTCAGGAGGTCTGAGGGGTGATATTCTGAGAACTGGGCCTGGCCTTGTAGGCAGCCTCCATTGGCCAGGGCAGAGGGGTGGGAATGGAGGTGCAGTAGTGTGGTCTGGAAAGGGAAGGAGGCAGGAGCAGCGGGCATAGTGCAGCCTGTAGGCTGTCCTTCCTCACGTGCCACTTCCAAGCCCGAGAGCTTGGTGTCACAATCTCTCCGACAGCTGGGAAGTCAGACCCAGAGTGAGCGTCCTGCCTGGACACCATGAGTCTCTGCCAACCACAGTCAATACAGTTTTGCTTTGGGACTCATGTGGACAGAAGGGAGCCCCGGAGACACAGGCTGGCACATGTCAAGGAAGGAGTTCACCCAATGCCCAGTTGGCCTTCGAGGCACCCAGAGCAGCTGGGATGATGTTTCTGAGGCCCCACACAGCCCTTTCTGAGGTGAGTGGTGGAGGTGGTTGCTGCTTCCCTCCATGGCATTCAGACTGCAGGAAGAGAAAGGACAGCCGAGGACATGAGGCTCAGCCCACAGCCCTGGGGACCGTCTCTTCCGCCCCTTGCCTTCCCTGGGCCAGGGTCCTCTGCCCACCACGCCAACCAGCTGACCTTCCAGAAAGTCTGAGCGCCGTAGCTGTCATCTCCTGCAAAGATCCCTTGCTCTTTGTGCTCATGGGAAAGCTGCCGTTCTCTCCCCCTGCTCCTCCAGGCCTGCTGAAGAACTTGTCTTCTGAGTGGAGTGGTGAGCGCTCTCTGCCGACCCATAAACTCAAGCACTCCGCACATCACAAACTCTGAATGTTGTAAATATCCGGTCACTCCAGAGCCGGGAGTTGGAGAGGGGAATAGTGTGCAGTGTGGAGTCGAGTCCCCAACGTCCTCTGTCTCAGCAAGTGGGAGAGCAGCCTCCAGACCCTGCCTCTCAGTGTGCTCACCTAATCTCCCTCTGCTTTGGAAGCTTTGGGGAGGGAAGCCTCCTTTAGGAACTCACCAGAACCCAACAGACCCAGCCCTCAAATCCCTTACTGAAGGCTTTAGTCTCTGTGAGGAGCAACAGTCAGTCACTGTCAGAACATCGACATCCACTTGCATGAGGAGCTCAGCCCCAAGCAGTCCTCTGAGACAGGAGGGGAGCAGGAGTGAGAAATGAAAGCAGGGAGAGGCAGAGACCAAAAGCCCCTCAGACGACCTCAGGGCTGGAAAGCTCTGGAGAGACTCGTGCTGTTGGAGGGACAGGTGCTGGCCCACCCCAGGTGTCTCAGCTCCCCACAAAGCGCTCTTTTCCCAGCAACCACATGCCTGCTGGCCACGAGGGCCCAGTCAAGTCTTCAAGGCTCCCTGCCCCATCAGTGACCGCTTGGCTTGAGCACGCACCCTTTTCCATTGTCCCTGAAGAGGGCTTCCACATTCTCGGTCCTTTCTCCACCAGACCTGCACCCCACCTCACACATCCTTGGGGACTCTCAGTCCATCCCCTCTGGGTCAAGCACACACCCGAAACTAGGGAGCATTTCCTAGCAAGAGGCTCTGTGATGGCTGCTGTGGCACAGGCCAGAAGAACTAGACAAGTGATGACAACAGCCAGAGGCTCCCAAGAGCACCATCTTTCTGTGCAGCACGCTCAACGTGCGCTTCACCTCACCCCAACCTGTGGTGCCCGTGGGTGGAGGTTTTTGCTCAGAATCTCCCTCTCAAGATCCCCAGGCATCTGCGGGGCTCCAGCTCTGTGGCCCGACACCACGCCCAGGCTGGTTGGCACTGAGATGCACTGGTAAACTGGGGTTGGACCCAGGTCCTCGCCCTCGTCACAGGTGCTGGGGACCGGAGCACCACTCAGAGAAAGCCAGATCGATGAGCTGGCAAATTCTGCCAGCCTAGGAATTTTATCAACGCCCAGTGTCCCAGGCAGTAAATGTCAATCCTGCTGAAGGAGCTGTGTTATCTAAGCCTCCAGGTGTGATGATCCGGCACTTCTCACAGAACCGCCCCCACCTGGGGGAGGGAAGCAGGCGACAAGGTCGGGGAGCAAAAGAGAATGGGACATGGCATGAAATCAGGGACTCGCTCATGTCCCGCCTGTGGCACTGTCCCCGGGGGCCTGGCCTGTGCCTTGCGTGACCGATGCCATGCTGCTCTGAGCCACAGCAGTGTCTCAGAAAGGCAGCATCTCTGAATTGATGAAAACTGTCAACTGAATCCCACCTTTGCAGGGACCGTGCTGGGCATTTTGCATGCATTCATGTTAATCCTCACAGGACTCTCGGGAACAGGTGGTTGGAGGCCCTTTGACACTTGGGGAAACTGGGGCTTAAAGGCATGAAGTCCCTTGCCCAAGGTCACACAGTACTTGGCAAAGCGGGAAACAACCCAGTTTCTCCCTCCCGTCATTCATCGGTTCTACCCACCATGCCCACTGCCTCCCACCAGCCTAATGCCTCACCTGAGATGCTGGTTACAGTTGCTGTCCGAGGGGTTCTCCCTGAAGGCAGCTCATAGGAGCCACCCCTCCAGTCCCCAGAGTAGCCACTCATTCCTCTGGGCTGCCCCTCACACGAACTGCCACACTCCTTCCTGCCCTCCCAAGTCCAGGGTGCAGCCTTCTCACCTGGCCAGGTGGGCTGGGGAGCCCCCACCAGGTGTGTCTGGTCCTAGTGGCTGAGCAGCCGCCAGTAGCCACTGGAATTCCATTTAGAAGCCGCTCCCTCCTGCCTTTAGTCAGCCAGGCTGGTCATGGAGGAAGAAAGAAAGGGCCGCACGGAAGGGGAAAGATGCAGAGAACAGACGCGCCACCCGGAAACCAGAATATTAATTTTCTCCCGTGCAAGGCGCCTTTAATTTTCCCTTCACCAAGCCCGCCGTGCCTTTGTACTTTTGCAGTTGCAGCTGTTTTTATTTGCCGCTGCTGCTGTTGTTTTAAAAGGTCTATTTTCACATGCAATGTTATCCAATTAGCAGAGCAATGTGTTGGCTTAAATAAACACTCGGGGGGAGCCAGCAGTAGGGAGACGCCATGGCGGCTGGCGTTGGCAGGCAGAGCTTCTCCGCCGTGGTAAGCAGCCGGGGCTTTGACTGTAGGGTTGCTCCAGTTAAGGTCTCTCATTTCTCACTTCTCCACCTTGCCAGGTGGGCACAGAGGGAGTGGCATGTGCGCGACACCCGAGCTCATCCCTTCTGGTAACGCAGAGCTATAATGGGCTCACCTTGGGCCCCTCCAGATGTTCTCCCCAAGTGCGATCCCACCATGTAAGACATAGTGGAGGTGTAGGCCATGAGGGTCTGGACAGAGCTCCTAGGACCAAACGGTCTTCTCCTCTCTGGGTGCCTGGCATTCCCAGCAACACGCCAAGCGCTTTGCGTGCACAGGGAGCACTGCCGGTCAGTTGTGTCATGTCTCCTTAATAAGTGCAAGGAGGGAGAAGGATGCAGTCTCCACAGGATCTGGAGAGGACAAGACCCCAAGGAGAGAAGCGCCATGTGTAAGTCAGTGTGGTCCAGGACATTAGAGATTCCTCTCCTGCTGTGCATGTTGGCAAGGGGTTTGGAATCCCCTGCCAGGTGACTCGCCCCACCACCAGATGGCAGAGGATGAGTGCGATGTTGGTTCAGCTCTTGCACCAAGGGAGGAGAGGCAGCTGATGTCACTTGGGGCTCCGTGGGTCCAGTGCTGCAGTTGGGGACCTGGGTTGCAGCTGTTCCCAGAAATCTCACCAGAAGCAAACCTGGATCAGAGATTTGTCCCCACTTTTCTGTTCAGGTGTGCATGTCATGTGTGCACTCAGGCCTGTGTTCCAAAAGGGAAGTTTTGCCAGGATCTTCTTATCGTAGCCCAG